AATTTTCTATAGAATAACTAGCCTCAAACGAAGTGAAGGGTACTCTAACATCAGTTTTTCATTATGATATGATTCATATTTCGCAAATGATTGATTTTTTAACCCAAAAATTCTAAATTTTCTATGTCAGTAGTTTTTAAGACTTTTAATATGTCATAAGTGCTTAATCACCCTACATTGCTCAGAGTTTTTGCCCTCGGGCTTTTGTTTTCGTATATTCCCAAGCGTTTCGTCGTCATTTTGTTCCTTTGATAAATTGTGATTTGATGCTAAGGCTAGTGCCTCTCATTGATGCTGCCAACAAATCTTCTAGGAAAGTACTAAGTCCCTGTTCGGATGCTAGAAATTATCAGGACTATTAAGGAAGAGGACGCAAGAGGTATTAGGTTCCATAAGGTCTCTCTGTTGCCTCGACCAAGTTGCGAAATCAAATTAATATATAATTTTCGTATATAAGTGGAGTTTCGAGACACCAGTAAATCAGTTATGTGAAATATATTCACCTTAAATGAAATAGGGTGGATACATCTCATAAATTAATACGCACTTAATACAGCTAGAGAGAACAGACTTGGCTTTCATAGCTTCGCTATAATTTAGATCTTTACGTATAACGATATAAGATATTAATAAAGAATGCCAACGAGGAACTAGATTATATAAATCTGTACTATCATATTGAAGCATAAAATGTATAGCGGACTTCCTGGTTCTTATCGAGTCAAGCGTCAGTCATATTTCGGGCGATGACTGATGGGGATTAGGTATGCTGCTGTAATGAAAGTATATGAGGGTCAATTATGCCCAAGCGACCAAACAAAAAGCCCTACTCGTTGTTGAGTCAAATATTTGGATGATTGTTCTTTATCTTACTCCGGAGACTAATTCACAGTGAATTATGTGATGAAAGTAACTGCTCGATATGCTACGGCATCAAAATTTTCTTGCGGAATTGCAGGTAATGCTTCTTTAGTCAAATAACCTCTTAGCACTAAAACTAAAGCAATACTAGAATTTGGCGCCGCGGCAAACTAGCCAAGAGGCTCCAATGGTATAATAAGAACTTGTGGACAAAATAAAAATGATACAACTTTGTAAGTTGAGAATTAATCATGGAGACAGATGTGTCAGTAGCCAGGGCGTAGATCGTGTTAATATATGATGTGAAAGAAAGAGTGATCGATGACTAAAACTGACGGGCGCACATGATTAGCCAGGCTCCTCGGAATTTTAGTAAATTGATTTGTTTAGTTCTCCTTGCATCCGTCTTGCATTATCAGTTATTGGTCTTCGATTCGGCTACCCAATCGGCACAACTTTGAGTTGCATGCTCGCTGCCCTTTCTGTGCAGTACCTGTAAATCCTACTCCCGTGCGTCTTATCTTCCCGGGTGATATTGACCTTGATGATCTAATGCCTCCAGACACAGAACAAGAGTCCCGCACACCGTCACCATCGTCGTCACCTTCTCCGCCTGCCTCCCCAGTCCCCATTGTTCCCATCCGTCCGCCTCTGGGCTCGTCAGCTTCAGCATTTTCTGTCCCATTTGCTTCTCAATCCACTGTCTCTCTCGCGACTCCTGTAGGAACCACGTGTTTAACAACAAATCAGGCTGCAACCTCGCCTCAGATGCTTCTCTAATATAAATTTAGTGGTAAGTTACAACGCACTTTAGATAAATAAATAATTTAGGTTGTTTTTGCATTGACATTTCGTTGTTCTACTGTGATGAAAAATTATGTAGGACAAGCCTTTTATGTAAATAACCGTGGTTAAGATCTTTTATTTCTGTAAAAGCCTCTTTCTTAGATGAATTCCCTTCATTTTCTGTTCATGAATGTAAATGATTGGTAATTGCTCGAAATTAAGTATGTGAAAAGGAACTGGGTTTCAAAGACTCCTTTAGTGATATATTGTGACATTATTTCCCATTTCGAGGGAAAAGTTAATTGGAAGAATTCGTAAAATGGTCTCATCAGAGACAGAATGAGGATTTCAGCATAGTGCAGACTAATATGTTTTACGAAGAGGTCCTCGGCTCATCGTCCTGCGACCCCGATGAACCTGTGCTAAGCTCTCGTCTGTACTGTGATAGACATCATCATAGCAAGAATCCATACTTTACGAAATAGAGCAAAAATATACTAAGCCAAGAGAAAACGTTGCGGGCTACAATTGTAGTCACTTTTTTATCTACCTAACCTTGCGACTTTAATGAGACATCCCATGATTACGTTGGCTACCACAATTTTACTCTGCATGCTTGCTGGTGGTTGAAGTTACTTCATGAATCAGAAATGCATTCGATGGCAAGTGTTCCCTTACAAACTTAGACTATTAGATATGTCACCATATTTCGGTTAAGGTGATGCAGTTTAGTTTTCTCATAACTTAAGTACACCTTGCGTTTCCATTGAATTTCACATAACGTTGCTTTCCCGAAAGTTATTCTTATCCATAGTTTCGAGCTCCCCTAGTTCTTATCAGCACTCCGGCGGGACTAGAACCATATTAATGTAGTGTGTCATCTCAACAGGTTAACCACCACGAAACCCTACTTACAAACGAAAAATATGTGATTTAGCCTATTGTTATAGCAAAAATACGTTTTTTTCATCGACAATACCACCAAAGAATCTGATATGGGAAAAGGCCTGGCCTGCCCTGTAGCTTGAGGGGTTAACGTGCCAAGCTCATAAGCTGTACTGTCACTGTTCAACTCCCGCTGGGGTGTTGATAATACCTATGCGAGGTCTAAACTGCAGTCCACTCCGGCCAGGATTAGAAAAACTTTTGGGGAAGCAAGGCTCTGTGAAATTCAATTGGGGAAAATTCTACTACCACTCCTTCATCAAGTTAAACGAAATATGATGAATACATCTCATATAACTGATTTTCTGGTTGTCTCAATACTCTTCTTATGTACGAAAAATATAAGAAAAATGCTTGACCTTCCTTGAAATTCGCACTGCCCTTTAACCCAAAGGTACTCGTGGCAATGTGGGTTAGTGATTAACTTCTCGATATTATATCCTGCACTGTTATGGTCTTTCTTGTTTGCCCTTAACACCAATTATCTCTATTCTCTTAGTTTTCCAATAATGCTTTTACTCTCCTATTCCTTTGTGATACCTCTACATGGCTATCAATTAAAGGGACAACCTGTAACTCGATATCACTCCTAGTCTCTTCAGACAAACGGTCAGTAAAACTTGTGACTTCTAATATCCTTACTGTTTGACATCAATAAGTTCAAAGTTTTATAAAGAACTTTCTCTGGGCTAATGTCCAAAGATGTTTTGGACAGATTTAGCACTTTCTCTTCTACTATACTCCGCTCCTTTAAATCTACCTTAACCGTCCCCAGCTAACTCCCCGTCTTAATTCTTATACCCATATTCCTAAGATTTTTACTATGGCTTATCCTAACCTGTTGAAAAATTCTGTCATATAACTCGTCTGCCATTGTTTCCAACTTAAGTCATCTTAGCCTAGATCTTCCGACAGTGATTGCTATAATCTGGCTTTGCTCCAAATCAAAGAATGTAATTTTGTGGTGTCTTCTTGAATTCTAAAAGTAACTAATTCGTGAGTTTCTCTCATAACGACCTACTTGGTTATACAAAATTTGGGAATAATTCTACGTGATGAATATAATTTCGAATACCGAATATGGTTAACTTGCTTGACGAGCGCTTTTATGATCTTAGTGTAAAGTGATGAATCTCGAAAAGTTTGCTATCCGTAAGTTCGTCATAGATATGTAGAAAAACTGGTTTTCGAAGACTTCCTTACTAAATTCATGTTGGAGTAGTTTTCATTCAGTTTGAAGAGACGAGTGAAAGGGACTTGTAAGTTGGCCTTATCTGAAGCGGATTTATCGTAAAGCATAGTCTCTTGGCCTGACGATGTCCGTCATATGACGGACGAAAGCTCAACAAGAATTAATTTGGGCCATAGGGAATTGCGCCGAGGACCTATCCGTTCAAATCTATAATCATATCTTCAAGGTACTCCAACATGAATTGATTAAGGGATTCTTCGAAAACCAGTTTTTCTTCAGAAAATATGAAATTGTCTTCCAATTGGCATATGCTTGAAATATTTCACGGAAGAATACACCGCCAAGAGTTCACGGCTAAAATTGTTGTACCTCTTCTGTGTTGGTGTGAGTTTTCGGGAGTTGAAAGCGACAGACTGCGGAGCTCCAGCAACAAGCTGATAGAGTGCAGCACCCACAGCCCAGTCAGAGGCGTCGCTCACAAAGTGAAGATCGGCATCTGTATTTGGGCATGCTAGCATGGTCACTTCAGCAAGGACTGGCTTACGGCGCTTTAAAACGCTCTGTGTATCTTTAGATAGGTAGACTCCCTTTTCTGAATTTTGAGAATCTCCTCCAATTGATTCAGCAAGTCTGAACTGTTCAGAATGACGAAAAAACTACTTAAGGTCTTGAAGATGCATAGAAGCATTCCATTAGCACCAATGTGATGTTTGGGGAAAGTCAGGGAATCGACGCCAAATCTCTTTTCTCCGGGGAAATCATCAGATGGGACCTGGAGATAGGCAGTTTTGGGGGTTTTTGAGGAAATGTTCCTGCCTTTAGAGCTAAAGCGACGCACGTGACGCCTGGCGGAAGATATCTGACTGGAACCGTTATAGCATTGAGTCTTAAAAAATCTCCATTCATTCTTATCATTTCTTTGAATCAAATGAAAGGGAGATGCCCAAGCAATTTTTGATGTGCGAATAGTGTCAGCGCTTATTAGACTATTGAACATAGATTTGGCTGCGTTCAGTTTGTCACATGGAATTTGATGTGGTCGCTGGAAGACCGAAGTGGTGCATTACTGTGTGGTTAGTTGCACCTCTGTGAATAACAGGTTTGGTTACTGATGGAAACTGACTCAGCAACTAATTCCAGTTTGAATTGCCCGTTTTAAGCACCTGACAGAAGTGGTACAAAAGAGCCGGTTTGGTATAGGTCTAACGCTTGGATAATTTCCGTCTTATTGACAGCGAACAATGAATATAGGAACTTGGAGTTTTCTGTCGATCTGCGTTTGCGCTTGTTTTGGATGGCAGTGGCAGAATGTGCTTGTTGAAGGATTACCTCCATCAGACTATCCACAATCTTAGCTGCCTATTCCATGTTTAGAACCTTTGAGAATTTCAAGGTAGTCTGGACTTGGACCGAGAGTCTTTCTATATGTAGCTGACGCAATATAGGTTCAACTTGAGGATCAAAACCAGAAAAACTTCGGTTCCTACAATTTCAGTCTCCAACAAAAATGCTAGTAAAAAGATACTTTGCTTAGGCTTCTCATAGCAATTATTATTCTGATAATTGCGTAAGAAATGTTGGCGATATCATCCGGAAGACGTTTGAAAACTATAATCAGTTTGTTAGGGGGACCTTCATTTCGGATCGAAGTGCATAAGGAGGAGATTCGTTTGTCGATCTCACCAGATGAGGACGGATGAATCTCGTAGTGCAGCCGTTTGGCTTTTATACGATATTCATGTTGACGCAGTCCACGAGACTTCCTCTCTCGTTTCGGGTGAAAACGTGCTGAGCTTTCGTCCATCATATGATGGACATCATCAGAGCTAGTTGTCATTTTTGTAAAAGTCTAACGTTAACATTAAAGCAAGAACACTATCCGGCTCTACCTTACTTCTTATATAGACTCAATCGAGCCAAAAAATTAAAAAATTAAAAACCTATATAGATCGATATAGAGTGGTTTGGTTAATTTTCTTTCATACTGGTCCTGTTATTTTTGCTCGATTGTATGAGTATGTGTATTTGTGTGTGTTAGCGTCTATATGCAATACGGTTCCTAAATCACAGTTGTCAAAGGTTAAATCTCAGGTTCTCATCCTCAAGACCTAATGACCCAAGAGAAATCCTTGACCGAGACTGCCTAGGTCCGTAAACAAGTATGGTTAAGATATTGAAATATGAGCTTGTAAGCATGAAAATTAAGTTACGAAACCATTTATCCTAGCCTTTCAGTCTAGGATAATTAACATTTAACCCTACAAGGAAAGGCAAGGCTGGGGTTGCGTAATCTGACATGTCTGGTTTGGGCGAGTGTGAGTGAAATTAGAACCATCACTGAGCCGACAAATTGAGTCGTTTTCTTTTTGACGGTGGTTCAACACCCTCTCTCTCTTTGAATATATCAATCAAGCATAAGTAATTCATGCTCAACTTTCGAACACTGTCCCTCACATTCAACGTATTTCCTAAGCTATTAATTTCAATAGCCTCTCTTATCTTTCTTTTGAACACAGAC